CCCCATGAGACGAGATCCTCGAATTGCAGAATCTCGCACTGACGGAATAGCGTGGTGTATAACATAGCACTCCAGGAGTTCCGGACCGTATCACTGCCCTCGCGACTTGAACGATGCTATGCAGACTGTACGAGCACCGGCCTCGTCCTACACCCCGTATCGGAGATGTACCTTTGGCGATGGGACGAAGGCCTGCAAGCGCTCGAGGTAGCGCCTCCCCATCGCGCCTCTTCAGAGCAGTATGGCGAGACATCCTTCATGTTCCACCCCACAAAGCCCAAGGTCTTCTCGATCGTGACGCTCTGCAGGACGGGAGGCGATCGCTCTGAGTCAGATTCGGAAGACGAGTCGACCTACAGTCTTCACCTCCACGTCAGTGACTATGAAGATAGGCAACTTCGCATGACCAAGACGCACGAACGCACCAATCTTCCGAGCAGATGCAGGCCCCCGGTCCCCCCGCAACAACAAGGCATCAGAAGGACCGACAGAGACCAGTTTCACTGGTCATCGCAGAAGGCGCTCCGTCCAATCGATACGCACGGCACTCATGCCTTGTTCGTCGATAGTCTGTCGTCAGAAGACGTCGCGCTGGTCTCCTACAACATGGTCACGCGGCAGATGCATCTGGACCTCCTCGGCGACCAGCCCGCCGCGCTCTTCAGAGAGTGGCGCGCCGTGGGTGGTAAAGACGGCGTCGGCGCATTCGTATTCATGCTCTGGGAAGAAAATCTCTACGTGCACTTGTGCCACGAAATATGGTATTATCGAAACTCGCGGCCTCATGGTTTCGAGCCTTTCTTGCGTCACGTAGACGTCAAGAGTGAAAAGTGGAACTGGGACCCAAAGTTAGCTATCCACCCAAGAGGGATAGCCAGGTGTCTCTCAACATACTTGGTCGGGGATGATCGCTATCTTCTTCTCAGTCACGACGGATCATACTCATACATGGTCTGGAAATTCGACGATCTAGACGAACCAGGCAAGGCGCCGAAGGGGTGGGACACCTGGAGCGAGGTTCAAAGGACATTATCACACCACTGCGCCGGCTATTCGCTCGAACTTCAAGAGACAGAAGAGTAAACCCAGACCAGCAGCATGGAGTCTGCCACTTGAAGGGGTCTTGAATAACCAGTTGTACATGGAAACAAGATGGGAAGTTGTGTTGACACGTTTGGAGCCTAAAAAGAGTGACCAGGCCAGGAAAAAGGAAGCTGTACCTCGCCTTGAGTTGTAAAGGTTGCAAGCTGAGGCTCTAGTTTCTGGCTGGGGCTCTAGTTTCTTGCGAGCCTGACGCCACGGCTCGTCTTCAACCCGCGTTATTGCCACTTACCGAGCATTTAAACTTACTGTTACGTATTCCGAGCTTTCTAAGCTGACAAAAAGCTGCTACACATGACCAGTCTCCCCACGCTCAAAGCATCAGACGACTGGTCAGGCAACATCAAAGCTTTCGACCACGATGAAGCGCCACAAGAGATCAACAAGTCCAACCAGCACTCGCCCGGTTGTACAGCTGGACAGCTGAATGTTGCAACACGACCCGAGCGTGGGGTCGAAATTCTAGAACACACCCTCCGCCCGGAATGTAGATGAAGAGAAAGACAGGAAAATACGTCTGCCGTCCAATGGCAGGCCTCAGACCGCAGCACGAGACAGAGACGAGCTCACACGAGCTCGTCTCCACTCCCAGTAGGGTCAAGACAGCTCACAGCCGTGCCACCCGTCTTGGTCCCCGATCCGCCCCGGCCCTAGCATGGGCTCTCCCGGGGGTTTGGGGTGTGTCTGGGTCTCACTTCGAGGTACCATGTACGCGACGCCCGTCCCGCCGCGCAGCGTGCATAAGCCTGCGGGCTGGCGTGCAGGCGATGGGACTCTACATGCGTCGAGAGAGACATGAGGAGGGTCGGCCAGGCCGATATATTGCTCTCGCGCCTTTCCAGGTCGGGTTTTCGGGCTGTCTGAGGTTGCAGCAGGGGTGATTGTTCAGGGAGCGTGGGAAATTTGGCTTTCCTGACTCCCTCCGACCAGTCGGGGTTGAGATGAATGGGTTAGACTCAAAATGGAGGCCAGCGTATTAGTGAAAAGAGTACATCGTTTTGATATGCGCATCATCGAGGGCTGGGTTGTGTGTCCATGACTGTTGCCGCACAGCTGTTCCTACAAACAGTGCTCACCAACGACAAGTAGCACGACGTCCAATCAGCATCTAGTAAATGGCCATGAGTTCTCGGGTTCAAGTAGATTCGTCCGGAGGATCATGATGGAATAAGGCAAAAGTGCGTCCCTGAGGCTGAGCAGTGGAAACCTCTCCAAGAATCGACCGACGAAGGGCAGTCTTGGCGATTCTGAAGGATATCAACACTGACTCTGCTTTGGGTGGATTCTTGCTCCCAAGGTGGTCCAGTCGGTACGTGTGTGCGTCTTTCGTCCAATTTTCCGATGATACTGAAGCGGGTCATCCCAACGCCAAGGATAAACTCGGAGCTACTGCGCGTCCAAGCTACGCAACGAGCGGTCCCATAGAGATCGACAAGCTCATAGAACACATGCGTGCGCAGCAAATAGAACCTGTCACGAGCCAAGACGGCTTGTTGACAAGGGAAAGAGAGGGAAAAAAGAAAAAAAGGTCAGCGAACCTAATTGCTTCGGTCGCTCTCGACCTATGGAAAGAATGCTCTCCTTCTGGAAGGGTTGAAAATGGATCCCATCTGCCCACCATCTGTTTTTGGCCACACATGGTGGTCAGAGAGGCCAGCCTGACGAGACACGTTTATGTGAGACGTGACGTGGTTTGCCAAGATGCATTTGCTATCGGGGCAGGCCGCAACACGTCGTGTCTCGAAAGACCCCGGTCGTGTGTCCACCCGTGTCGTTCGGGGAGGGTCGACAAACCGGCCGTTGCCACCACTTGAAGCAGCAGCGGAGGTAAGGCGGCGAATGCATCGGCACAGTTGGTTGTCTGCTCACTGCTTTTGGATTTCAGACTTCGGGCAACCCACCAGACCATTGATTCAAAGGCCGCTTGAGCTTGAGGAGAAAGACAACGAGCCGCGCAGGCCGAGGGACCCCCACGTGGTCGTTACTTTCTTGTCGTATGCTTGGTTGAGGGTCGGTGTTCGGACGTGGGCGCACGGCGGCGAGGCCCCTCTTCTCTCTCGGGTTGACAAAGCTCGAGGCGACGAAAAGGTCTAGGGCGAACCTTGGAGGGATGGGGCCAGAGACGCGCAGGATAAGGTTGATAGGGGCTGATCATTGGAGCATGGCTGTCGAGACGCTGTCGCCACGCGCGGTGGTCCTACCAAAAGAGGTAAGGGTCGACAGGTATGATGTGTGGGATTGGGCAGAATCGAGTCGATGATGGATGACGGGAGTATCTGGGCTTGATGCATTTGGGACAATGTTCAAGGGGGGAAAGGAGGGGAACTGGTAGGAAATCATGATGAGAAGTCGAAGGGGGTGAAGTCGTCGTAGAGAGGCCCCACCACGTGGGCGATTCAGTGGTTCTGATTGGGGCACGAGATCTGGGGATCTGAGCAACAGGCCAATGGAGTGACCCAGGTCGACCACGTTTCGACTCGAGCTCGTCTTGGCCTCCGCAACTGCCACCGTTCCCACGCGCCAAGCCTTTTCCTCTGCTTCCTAACCTCCACTCCTCCACTCCTCCAGCGTCCACCCCTCCCCTCCTCCCGCCTCCCAGCCCACCAACGGCACAACCTCAGCACCCGCAGCTGGGCCGGACTCTGCTTCAGCGCTCGCCAGACCATGGAGGCCATGCAGGCTATCCCATGAAAAACCCTTCGGCGATGGGATGGATCGAGCAGGAGCAGGAGCTAGCCCTGGCTCCGCTCAAACGCCAATCCAATGCGCAGCAGAAGTCCAAGGGCGTGCCTCCCGCCTGCCTGGTCTGCCGAGCCCTGGGCGTCCCTCGTCCCGCCAGCTTCGATCATATAAAGATGATCCCTCCAATCTTGGCCGCCTTCTCAGATCTCTTGGTCTTCACTTGGCACACTCCAACCCAGTCAATCAGTCGCAACCTCGACACCACGACCTCTGCAGAGATCTCTGGGCATTTCTCGGCAGCCCTTCTTGGCTTTCACTCCTGACCACACCACGAGGCCTTTGACAACACCCTGCCATTGACTTGATCAACCAAGGACCAAGATCACCGCCAAGATGGTTCTTCACGAGTACACCTACGTCTTCGCCATCGGCACGTGCTTCGCCCTGCTCGAGGCCTACAACAACGGTGCCAGTAAGTGAATCCTGCCTGCTGTGTGCACAGCAGCTGTGCCATCCAAACAGGCAGAGCGCTAACGGGCCACTCTCAAGACGATGTCGCCAACGCTTGGGCGACCTCCGTGTCGTCCCGTTCCGTCACCTACCGCCAAGCCATGCTCCTGTGTCTCGTCTTTGAGATGACCGGTGCCCTGGCTGTCGGCGCCCGCACTGCCTCGACCATCAAGAACGGTATCATCCCCATCGAGGCCTTCGACGGCAACGCTGGCGTCCAGCTGCTCGCCTTCGCCTGCGCCTCGGCCGGTGCCGCCATCTGGGTCATGTGGTGCACGCGCAACTCGGCGCACGTCTCGTCCACCTACTCCCTTGTCTCCTCCATTGCCGGTGTCGGTGTCGCCGCCGTCGGTGCGAGCAACGTCGAGTGGGGATGGAGCGGCGGTTCCGGCCTCGGTGCCATTTTCGCCGGTCTCGCCATGGCCCCCGCCATCTCCGCCCTCTTCGCTGCCACCATCTTCATGCTGGTCAAGCTGACTGTCCACCTCCGCACCAACCCCGTGCCCTGGGCCGTCTGGACCTCTCCCTTCTTCTTCCTCATCGCCGGTACCATCTGTACCCTGTCGATCGTTTACAAGGGTTCTCCCCGTCTTGGCCTCGCCAAGAAGCCCCCTTCGTTCATTGCCGGTGTCTCGCTCGGCACTGGCTTCGGTCTAGCTCTCCTTTCTGCCCTCTTCTTCGTTCCTTACGTCCACGCCAAGGTCATCAAGAAGGACAACACCCTTCGCTGGTTCCACGTGTTCCAGGGCCCCCTCCTCTTCCGTCGCCCGGCCCCTCCCGGTGCTGAGTTCGCCGATGTTCCCGACTACGCTGTCATGAAGCACGGTGGTGAGGATGATGATGAGGAGAACCAGGACGGTCCCGAGCAGGGCATCAAGGGCGATGTCATCAACGACAAGTCCAGCGCCAACGACAAGTCCAGCGCCGACGACATCACCGCCTCCATCCCCGCCGAGAAGCACCAGGCTGTCGCCCGCGACAACGAGAAGGCCCTCATGTACAACGAGACGCCCCAGGAAGCCTACAAGCGTCTGTTGAGGCGTGCCCGCGAGCGCCACCACGCCTCCCTTCGCAAGCAGCGCGGTCCCCTCGGCTGGGCCATGCGTCTTCTCCACAACAACCCCATGGGCGCCGGTTCCGTCTACGAGCTCCACAACCTCAAGGCCATCTGCGTCCGCCTGCCCGCTCAGGTCGTTGTCGCCCTCACCTACGGTATCAGCTACGACATCCACAAGGCCCAGGTCGGTGTCCTCGGCACCCCTGAGGGTCGCCGCATGGACCGCGTTTACAAGCACGCTCCCAAGTACGCCAACGAGGTCGAGCACCTGTACTCCTTCGTCCAAGTTATTACTGCCTGTACCGCCTCTTTCGCTCACGGTGCCAACGACGTCGGCAACGCCGTCGGTGTCTGGGCCGGCATGTACGCTGCCTGGAGCACTGGCAAGACCGCCGCTTCCAAGGAGCCCGTTCCTCTGTGGCAGATTGCCGTCGTCGCTCTCACCATTTGCCTCGGTTTCATCACCTACGGTTACAACATCATGAAGGGTAAGCTTTCTTCTCAATATCCACACATCTCACTGGGTCCCAACACTAACGCACAATGCAGTCATGGGCAACAAGATCACCTACCACTCCCCCTCGCGTGGCTCCTCCATGGAGATGGGTGCCGCCATCACCATTCTCATCTTCTCCCAGTACTCTCTGCCCGTCTCCACCTCCATGTGCATCACCGGTGCCACCGTTGGCGTCGGTCTGTGCAACGGCACCTTCAAGGCCGTCAACTGGCAGCGTGTTGGCCTCCTCATGTTCTCCTGGATCATGACCATCCCCATCGCCGGCGCCATCGGCGGTCTCCTGATGGCTCTCGCCGTCAACACGCCCAGCTTTGCTTAGGTCACGATGGTGTAGGGATTTGGAATTCCGGTGCATAGATGTTTAATTGGTGTCTTCTTTACTTAGATTGTGATATCCAGAGCGCGCTGAATAAAAGTACTCGCTCATTCTATATTGGCAGCTGCTTGGGATTGTGCGTCATATACTTTCTGAATTGTATCAAACAGACGGTATCAGTCACAAAGAGTGTGGGCTCGGGTGAATTTTCAACCAGGCTCCATCAAACAAACTGAAAAATAGAACAAGGTCACGAATTATAGCGTGGCTTTAATTTCAGTCGTGCGCATGTAGAACGACGCCAGATGTGATCTTGAAAGGCTCACCAGCAGCGCCCTGCCTCAGCTTAGTCACCACAGCCCGGACGGCGCCGGCCTCAGCTCGGCGATCCACTCCCCCCCCCCCCCCATCCACGAGCTACCTCCCATGCATGAACATGGCCTGCTGCATCCTTTGCTTCTACCGAGAGTCGCAGCCGGCCCACGACTCGAATCCGGCAGCTTGGGTGCTACGGCTGCTGCTGCTGCTGAAAGACGCACATCAGCCAGGTACGACACGCAAAACACCCCATCAAGCGAGCGGGGATCCCGCTAGGTCCAACATCTGCCGTTGTACCTCATTCTGCGCGGCGTGAGAGACGAGAGGGTGGGGGCGAAGGGGGGCGTGGATGTACGAAGGTCGGTATGGACCAATGACGGGAGCACGTGCTGTCGTGAAAGGGATAAACAGGAGGAGCATATTCTTCTGGCCTGTGATAAAGAGGAGTCGGTCTCCCCGTTGGGACCTTATTGGACTTGATCTGAAAAAGCTAGTTCTCGAGGATAGTAGTTTTTGTGCATGTCTCGTAAATCGGATGGTGGGTAGAATCGAGGCTGCCCGCCCCTGTGAGCTGCTGGACCTCGTCTGCAGCGCTCGCAACGGGATCCCTGGGGTGGTGTTGGGACTGGAGATGGAAAGGCGTATGCTGTGCGACGCCCCTGTGCCATGGGCACTTGTTACGAGCGTATGGTCTGCTTGGACTCGGGCATTGTGCTTTGATCCTGTGAATTCGATGCTTGATCGTGAGAAAACGGACAGAATGCTATGTATAACCCCCAAAGTATATGACTGGCTGGACTACAACAAGGTACCACCCCCCGAACGTCAAGCCCAAACGAAGAGATATTCTTCTGACCCGGCTGCTCATGCGTAAAGAGTTGGATGAGCTCTCCCGGTCCGTTCTCGTTCAAGCCCCTGTTTCCATGCTTGACAGGCTGGCTAGCTCGTCATTTGTTGTGGTGGTTGTCCTGGCTGGCGAGAGCCTGGCCACTGGTTATACTTCATCCAGGCAACTTCCTCATTTTTCTGTTCATGGTTTTCTGCATTGTTTGTGGACACAGCAGGCCCGAGTTGCGTCGTTCAATGCTACTACTTTCACGTCTTGCCTCGGAAGACAGTGCATGTGGCAGCCATCCTCCTCCATCTTGCGCGTCAAATTGCTGACTGGCCTTCACTCCCAGGTTGCTGTTCAATTTCCCGTCCAAAGGACACAACAGTCTTGATCCATCGTCTCTCAGATACTATAACGCGATAGTAAATAGCGAGATAGCTTGTAACACCGACAGCGCCAATACTCAAGTTCCGCCGCCCAACGTAGCCCCAGCCCGAATCGAACAGCTCGACAAAATGACGCCACAGAAGTAATACAAGCTGACGCAGGTTTTTTACTCGAGGATTGTCGAGACTCAGATGGTTCAGTCGCCGACCGACGCCGCCTGATTGCCAATCACAAATAACGTTGAAGACAAGAAGAGATGCATACTGGGACGATCTTTGGGATGGCGTAAATGCAAAGGGCCAGGCAAAGCCGTTACTCTGCATGCAAGCCATTTGCACCATGAAGCAGTCGGCGCCATGGGCGACGAGACTGATGGCCGCGCATCAATGAGGCCTTGATCGCGGATCACGAGAGCCCAATGCATTACTGTACACACATGACTATGCTGGTAACTTCCATCGCCCACGTCCACAACATTATCATATCGGGTACGTATGACTATAGCACGATCTTCTAGTAGCTACTGAGTCAGTGACTTAGAGAGTCGATATGTGCTGGATCGAGCAGCATGAATGGACAAGGCCATTCTCGAGGTTTTAAAAAGGCTCTTGCTGTGAAACAGAACACTAGGTATATAACTTCATTATTTACCCTTAAAATCAGACTCACCTCTGCGTATTTGGCAATGCCTGATTTGTCGAGAATCGATAGGACGTGGGAGAGCACTCGGAGAAAGTACAGGCAGCTCGACAAATACACCCCAGAGTACCAACAGTCGAGTCGCAGAACCGTAGCCGGAAATATAGCTACTCGGCCGACCCGGTGGCAGTCTTGTATTGCACACTTCCAAAGTTGTTGCCTATCTAAAGCCCATTGGCTCCACGTTACCATCCTAAGCCCAGGGTTTGTAGCCGGGTGCAGCACAGTTGCCGACCGACGAGACGGGCATGTTAGCGATCTAGTTTGAGATCATCGTATAGTCTACAAATAGGGCACAGTTTTGACCCCTAATTCAGATTGCAGCCTCAGTGCGGCATTGTACCTGGGCATTAGAATATGCGAGACTATTCCTCAGAGGCCTTACTCATGGGCTAAACACCGCTCATGGTGCTTCGACAGAGGCAGTCCAGTGATCTGTGAGTCACCAAAGCCACCGTAGACAGCCATTCTGAGTCGTTACAGCCTGACGCACGCTCGTTCCACAAAGTTTCGACTCCCCGGCCCACAACACGAGGGCCCGCGTGGCCCGCGGGCTCCGGCCGCCGACAGCTGCTATCGTCAACTCGGGGTTTTTGTTCGCGAATTGCGATAGGACGTTTGTGTTGGCTGTTGGTGAGTGTTTCTGATCGAGTGGCGGCCTCTGACAACGAGGCATCTTAAAGAAAGAGGATTTAGTAAGTAAATGGCCTAGTATGAAACCTCCCGTAGCCGTGGTGAGCGAAGCGTCAGCGCCTCCTTGACTAGAAGCAGTATTACTTGCGCCTTATGTAAGAGGAAGAGAAATTTAGCAAGATAGACCACTAACGGCGAGTTACCATAGTCATCAAGGTCGTTGATGCCGACGTTACTCGACAAGAGATGCCGAACAGCGTCAAGATCAACGCTACGACACATCTTCCAGAGAGAGCTGCAGATGCTACTCGTCGCGCTGCCCGACCAGCTTGACCTGATAATATGCGCTAATCCAGCATCTTTTTCATCCTTATAGTCCTTTAACTTAAGGGACTATGATATCATCGTGGAAGAGGAGTTATGCCATTGAGTCGGTACTATTACTTAGGCCGAGGCGGAGATTGCCCTTTACGGTATTAACCTCTATTCATTACAGAGTCTAATAAGTAAGCTGGACCTAAGGAAAGGCCGGATCAGATACGAAGACAACGATGACCTAGCGCGTTTATTCCAGGAGAGCCTAAGCGATGAGGTCGGCGGACTCAGGGACGATACTGCTAGGTCTATTCAGTCGTCAATAGTGCTGGGGCTACACGATCCGAGGGGCTGGACGAACAGCTAGAAAGAATGGAGACTAAGCGTGAGTAAGCCTTAGATTCATATATAGACTATACAATACTGGCCCCAATAAGGCCGGCTTTAATATCGTCTACATTCTCTAGCTTAGGAGGGATTTGCTAGTATTAGGGTCCTTATAGTTCCTAGTCGATATCTCCGTAAACGTCTCGTTACTTTGATAGACGCGGGGCATCCTATTAGATAACCCGAACGTCTATTCAGTAATATAGTGACACGAGTCGGCCGGTAGCCCTTAACGATGAAAGTGTCCCGCATGATGGTCTCCTAGTCGAGGACGAGCTCGAACATACTGAAATAGCTGCAGAGCCCGCATCAAAGGACCTGAAGACTAATTAGCCTAACAAGGTTATTAGCTATAATGTAGCAACTATAAGGAAGCCCTGCCCGACATTGCTGGGGTCAGGCAGCGGCCCATCCTGGAACTCGTAGGCGCGCAAGTCGCCGTTAGTGAGGCTAAAGATGTACCCGCGAACCGATGACCAATCTAGCTTCCTGATGTCTATAGTCTTGGCTCATCGCATATTTGGGTCTCGAAAGTTGGTTCCGATCATGACGGTGCCTTCCGGGATCTGGAAGTGGCCAGACGATGCTCAGGCATTTCGGCACCCACGGCTTTGGACATGCGTCAATTCACGTCAACAGCTGCATCGGGTCATGCGTGGCTCAATGTAGTTCAGACTATGGGAAACATTGTGTCGATAATGGAGCACCAGTTCGATACCAAGACTGTCGCAAGAGTCCGCGGCCGTCTGACTGCGGCCCTTCGGGGTCACGGTGGCTCCAAGATGGGTTACCTCCAGGAGCTACTCTGGACTCTTTCGGCTCAAGTTCGATCTGATATCAAAACGGAGCTAGGTAAGAATGGCAGGGACAATCTCGTCGGATTGATGGGTTACGTGGCCGAATGGGTCTCCTTCATTCGAGGACAAGTCGAGAGACCACGGACCGAGTCTTGGATAGTTACAAACCTCGGCGTCATTGACAGTCAGGGACAGGTTGGAGATGAAAACACAAATCAAGAGGCAGCGTGGTGTCTGGGGAGACCAGCCGAGGAGACGGCCAAACACGAAGCGGATTTGTGAAGGCTTGGGATCGAGAATCTAGGGGCTAGGCGGGAAGGGAAGGAAGGTCGCCTCTGGTGCCATCAAAGAGAGAGAAGGTGCCATGACCGATCTGGGTTGTTTTTATGTAATCTTCGATCATTGGCTGTAAGCCCAGCATTGACAAGTCTTCGCTCTCCATTGATTGGCCACGACCGTCCTACGTCCGTCACGGAATGCAGGAATGCTCCACTTCCCCGAAGGCCCCAGAGAGCAGGTGCAGGTGACGTGCTCATTGTGGGGAGCCTCAAGCCGTAGCTGTGTCAGTGCTGCCTTTGGAGTCATCCACCGCCGGTCATCGCTCTTTCCCTGACCTCTGCTTCCCAACTTACCACCACCACCATCCCATCATTCACGACAATCACCAGTGTTCCCTGGGCTTCTCTCTCCGACCGGAAGCTCAGATCCCTTCGAGCTTCATCCATATCTGCTTTCCTCGGAGAATGGATTGAAGAGGCACGGCAAGGAACTCCGCCCTTCGCAATCTACCAGGCATCAGCATCCTCACCATGCCACACCCTCCGAGCCCTCCCTCCTTCGACGACCAAGATGACACCTCCACCATCGCGCGAACGACATCCTCACAGTCGTCCTTTCTCTCCGACACAAGCAGCAAACGTCGTCAAGCATACTACTCCCGAAGAGCCGCGTCCATCATCCGTGCCGTATCCTTCTTCTCCTCTGTAGTCACTGCGCTCTGCGCTGGCTCCATCACCGTCTTCTCCCTCTACGGCCATATCTTCCAGGAGCGTCTGCACTACACGCAGCTGCAGGTCAACGGCCTTGCTATCTCGTCTTCCATCGCCCTATACCTGCCAGTTTCGGCTCTCGGCTACATCTGCGACCGTGCCGGTGCTCGACCGTTGTCATTCCTCGCGGCGCTCTTGTTCGGCTCCGGCTACGCTATCGCCGCCATCACCTATCGCAAGCTTGACTACGAGACGGCTGCCGGCCTTCGAGGGCGAGATGGAAGGCTTGTACGGATTGGAGGCAGCAAAGATGGGCAAGATGACACCGTTGCCGACTGGACATACCCCCTTATGATGTTTGCCTTTGTTTGTGTCGGCGTCGGTACGTGCTCCATGTACCTCGCTGCCGTTGCCACGAACGCCAAGAACTTTGGCAAGGGCCGTCATCGAGGCCTCGCTCTCGCCGTGCCCATCGCTGCCTTTGGTCTCAGCGGCATGTGGCTCAGCCAGGTCGGCAGTCGCGTCTTTTACGAGCGCCTGTCCGACGGCACGAAGGGCGACCTCGACGTCTTCCGCTTCTTCGTCTTCCTGGCAATCCTCCTCATCACTGTTGGTGTTGCTGGCGGCTTCACCCTGCGTGTCGTCGATGAGGACGACCTCTTCGAAGAGGCTGTCGAGGAGCTCGAGCGCAGTGGTCTCCTCGACCGCAGCTCTCTTCTTGATGGCCGAGGGCGTGGCTATGGCGCCGTTGAGCGTTCCCGTGACGAGGAAGCCGCTGGTGATGCTGGTATTCTGGACTCCTCCACCCATCTGGATGACGCCAAACTGAAGAAGGAATGGGTGCTCAATGCGGAGACGCGCAACTTCCTCACCGATCGCACCATGTGGTTTTTTGCCATTGGCTTCCTTCTCATGATCGGTCCGGGTGAGGCCTTCATCAATAACCTCGGTACCATCATCGGCACACTCTATCCGCCCACTGCCGCTGGCGAGCACCCGGGAAAGGCCACTTCACCGTCGACTCACGTGTCGATTGTTGCCATCACGAGCACGATCGCTCGCCTAGCGACCGGCACTCTTACTGACCTGCTCGCCCCGTCGCCCACGACGCAGCACCTTCAGCTTGAAGCCTCTCCGAGACCCACGTTCCTTCGCGGGTTCTCCCTTTCACGTGTCGTTTTCCTGCTCTTCTTTGGTCTTACGCTCTCCGCCGGCCTCGTTGCCCTGGCTTCAGGCTTCATCCAAAACCACGGCGAACGCTTCTGGATCGTATCGGGCCTCGTTGGAGCCGGCTACGGCGCTGTCTTCAGCCTGACACCCATCATCATCTCCACCATCTGGGGCATTGAAAACTTTGCCACGAACTGGGGCATCGTCGCCATGTTTCCGGCGTTGGGCTCCATGTTTTGGGGCCTCGTCTACTCGGCCAATTACCAGAGTGGTGCCGAGGCGGCCGCCCGGCGTGGCGAAGGCGATGTCTTTTGCTATGGCAAGGAGTGCTATGCGCCAACGTTCTGGGCCATGAGCGGCACCGTGTGGCTTGCATGTGGCCTGGTTTGGTATGCCTGGAAGGGCAAGGGTGGCTGGTCGCAGCGCGGCATCGTCGTTTGAGTCGCGAGACGCGGCACTCGAGATTGTGCATTTCTATTATGGCATACCGCATACTTGGCGTTTGGAATTGGCTTCAGGGTTTTTGGTGGGTATTTCATGGGCTTCTGGGTACACATAGCGTGTTGCACGCAAATAAGCAAGCAAGCAATATACTTTCATTTCATCTTCAGGTCATGTTTATGCGCTGCCGACTGACTACTGAATTGTTCTAAGTGAAGACGACTGCTTCTAGACTCGTAGGAGCGCATTTGACCGTACACGACGATGAACATGGACGTACTATCTGTTGCTGAAGCCGCGGGCAGCACATGCGACGTGCAGCTATCGTATGAGACTAATCCACCGGCATTGAGTCCCCAGACGAAATCCATGCTGGGCTCCGTATCACGCCGGGCAGCGTCTCGTTCCCAGGGACCAAGCGTCCCGTCCCCGGCATGACAGATTCTCTACTCCGGAACGCGAGACGAACATGTGCGCGCGCGCACATGTCAAGACCGCGTCTTCACTCTGCACGACCTACCAGACCAGGCAAAGCCAGGCAGTGCCTACTACCCCACTCCCCCTCGGCCATGCGAAATACCGGCTGCGCCAATCCCGTCCCGCCCGCCTGGCTACCCGGCGCCAACGCCCTGCCTGCATCCCTACGACCCCTGTAATTCCAGGGTTGGTGCCCGGATTCGGCAACCCGCCACGTAGCTGTCGCAAGGTGCGAGTCGAGGGGCCGTCCTGGCCACATCAAAGTCAGCCCGTCATCAATGAAGTCACATCGGTATCTGGGTGTGTCAAAATTGTTTCTCGATTCTGACTACTACTTCCTGCAGCAGTGCGAACATTCAGCAATCCATCTTCCACGATGTAGCATGCATCTCTACCCTCCTCCAGTCAGCGAGTCCATCCCTGATGCTTCTCTCCAAGAAACCTGAAGCTCCATACGAGCCTCTCGCTTGAACGGCAAATGCAAACATGAACCCAAACGCCTCTTCCCATGTCTATTGGCACATGGTGATGTGGACAAACCAAAAAAAATACTGGCCAGACCCGTGGCCCCTACGCTTACAAAGCAAATTATATGTGTAGCTGGTCGAGACGACACAGTCGTCCCAAACAAATGCTCGTCTGGCAGACGCCATGCCTGGTGCTTCTTGTGTCGCAATTTTGGGCGACGACGGGTATCGTGACGTTTGTGACGGCTGGTGTAGTCCATGGCCACTTCTTCGCGACACAGAAGCGTCATGATGTATCGGTGAAGAGATGAAATGCTTCTTTGTGTGCTTTCGTTGTGTGCCAGCGGCGCTCATCTCTGGGTGACGTTGCCAAGAGCCGATACCCATTTTCACCGCCGCTTGATGCTACCGCACCCGATGCGTGCCATTTACGCGCACGCTGACGTTCATGTCTATATTTCCCATGACAAAATATGGTTCTCGACGGGATTAGGCGGGGATCCAGACGAGCTCAATGACACCATCGTGGGTGCGAAGTGGCTTGTCATTCTCGACCCATCGGATGTCATCAGCCCGGCGGATGTAGGTTTGAAGCACGGAGCCGTCAGGATTGTTGTATGACTCGCGAAGCTCCCAGGCGATCTTCTTGCCGGTCCTCAGCATGGACGGCCGTTGGGGGCCGTACATCCAGTCCAAGTTCCAGCCTCTGTCTTCCGGCGCGGCGTGGAAAGTGCCCTCGAATTGGTCGAGGTCAAAGTCAATGCCTTGTGGGTAATGGGCCACACTGAAACCGTTGGAAATGACAAAATTGTCAGCTGTAACGAATCGCTGGTACGAACAATCTTCGCCGCAGGCGTGGGCTATCTTGGTAGACTGGAAGGGATAGGCAAAGTGCCATCCTCCACCCTTGAAGTGGTGAACGGAGTAAGGCTTGATGCCGCCCTCGTAGAAGCCGGCAGGATCTCCGAAAAGATCAAGCTGCCACAAATCCCACAACTGGGTGAGCCTGACGTTGGTGTTCTCGTAGATACATTTGCGCAGGAGAATATCACCCTGAGGCCCCCAGCCCGAGTCGGCTTCTCGGATCTTGGTGTTGGACCGACATGTCGCAAATATGTCCGTGATCTTCTCGGCCATAGACACGCTGAGGAAGACGCCAGCACCGCCAAACGCCTGGGATCCGTGACGCTCAATAGCGCCAACGTCTTCTGACAAGGTTCCAATATAGAGTAGCTTCTTATGATCGTACCTTTCGAACCGGGCCTTGAGCGCGTGCATGTTGGGAAAGTATGTGTCGTCGTCGCACATGACAAGCCACTTCTTGTTGGGCCGTTCTCGATGGTTGTAGAGCATCGGGACCAGACCCAGGTAGCGCACCGCCATCTCAAGCCTCGAGTCGGTGTGGCTCACATCGGCGTCAATACCGGCGCGCGCCAGGCGTCTCGCAACGTCGTCAAGCTCCGCGACAGTGGCGTCAATGAGTTGGAGAAGCAGCTTGCCTCCATTCGGCCTACCGTTGCTGTTGGTGAGCCAAAAAGCCCATTCCTTGATAGGATTGCTGGCAGGATTATTGATGCGCGAGAAAGTCGTAGAAACAGCAAACATGAACTCGGAGAGGTTGACGTCGGCAGGATAGGGCGACTGCGTGACCGGTACTTCGAGCGGCTCAGCGCACTCTTGAAAAACGTATCCGCTGTTGAGGTCGACCGTCTGAAAGCTGCGTGGCAGTAGTTTCTGATCAATGTTGGTGTAAGACAGTCGTTCGATGGGTTTACGATGAAATCGAACGTATCGTTTGAAGTATTCAATTTTACCGGATAAGCCGTAGGTTTCGCCCACTTGGCGGAGGTGCTGCATGTTGATGTCGCAGTTCATCCGATGCTTGTCAAGCGGTGTTCCAAGGTCGGCATCGTTGAGCACGGCATTGGCAGATTCAGGCTCGAGAGGCGTCTGCACGGGGACAGTTGGTGGGGGGGCTGCGGCCACGGCCATGCGATCGGTCGTCATCATCACGCGATTGCGTGCTTGACTATTGTTGCGATTATTCCGAATGGTCGCGCATACGAGGAATACAACTACTGCGGCGAGCACGAGCGTCCTTGTAAACTGATTCCGCGTGCTGCAAAGGCGGTTAGCTCGAGTGGCGGGCATCCTGGCTCCCATGGTCGTCACGTCGACGACGCTGACTAGAGCAGCCTTCTTCTCCAGCTTGGGCAAGTCGGAAACAATATAGCCTGGAGGCTGGTGAAGGTGCTGAAGGCGCTCTGAGGCGGCAGGATCGGCAAGTGGGCGGAAGGTTGCGTGACGCTGCGCCTTCAAGATGACACAGAGAACATTCGGAGATGACAGGTATTGATAGTATCAAGAATGCTGAGGAAAGACCTTCGAAGAGAAGAGAGCTGATAGACAGGCAAGCAAATCGTGAGCAGGCGCCGCTGAGGTGACAAAAGGCGAGGTATGACTTGTCGTTAGGGAGCGCCTTGTGCTCAGGATACAGGCGAGGAAGGGAACGGCGAGAGAACGTATGGCGGAGGAGGGGGGAGGAGATAGGACGACACGGCGAATAGGTACAGAACGTAGAGGGTGTGAGGTGAGCGTCAGAAAGGCTGGAGAGGGGGGGCATTTGAGCGGGATCAAGCATAGATAGATGCTCAGTCTAAGTCTTCAGCGATGTCTCGCTTTGGCAGCAGTGGGAACACCTGCGAGGAGCCGAAGCCGTCGAGGCAGGCGCTGCCAGGACGGCACGAATGGTTCCTCTGGAAGGTGGATGCAATACACTGTGTGGTTTACTGATGGATCCGGTAATGACCAGCAGGGGTCGCGGTGTCGGGGTGTCGTGACGGGCGGGGCGAGATGCGGCAGGCGCTGGAAGGCAATAATGGGTGGGTGGGTGGTGGGGGAACTCGGCCCAGTCCTGCCTGCCCTGTTCGTCCTTGAGTTGGTGGGTGTCATGCTGGGGTGCGTGGGAAGAGAGGGGACACAGCGACGGAAGGGACAGTGAGAGGTTCGTCCCCTGGATTCCTGCCGCTGCGTTCTAGCAGCAGGTGCATCCCTTCCGACCAACCCTTGGCACCGCTGGGGCATGTAGTTGTAGCAGGCGCATTGGCTCCTCCGCGACACAGAGCTGCCCGTCGCCCTGTCTCGATGATCGTCCAATATGGCGACTGTCAGAGCAGCACAGTCAAGAGATTGGACTCTTCGAACCCATACAGAGACGCCAGTGCCAGTCTACAGCTGACAGCGCGACCGTATTGGCGGCAAAAACAATCAAGATAAAAAATCTGGTCTGACCTTTCAGGCAACAGCCACCCATTGACTCGACCACATTCTCGCCATTGGCACTATTGCCACGAGGTGGAAGGTGCCCCCTTGCCTCCAGCCGGCCGGCGCCCAGACCAAAATACTGACAGTGGTCGCTAGACCTGAGGTAAGGCAAGGTACCTAGGGAGGCGCGCGTCTTCCTTCGTAAACAGTGCCTACCAAGTATGATCAGGTCATCCACGTCAGGGATCCAGGACGAGCTGTATACCCTTCATTCACTCCCTACGTCCGCTCAAGCATCTGCATCAATGATGGCGTCTCGAAACCGCACCGCGTTCAATCGCCCAGCCTTGCCAATCCGAATAGCGAGAGGGGACAAATAGCCAGGCAGGCCACACGTGTCTCAGCCTCATTCCGATGTCAAATGATCGAGTCTGCCAGCATGCCTCGTCTTTTGCCACGACAACCAGCTCACTCCGAAAGCCAGGAAGAACTCCTCTAGCTTCTGTAGATCCAGGACACACACATCTGAGCTCGCTTACGCATTTTCTGGGTTCGCTCGTACATAGCCTGCCTTCAGCCGCCAAGCTCACACAGGCCCAGACGTGCGATAGTAGCACGCCTATTTGCTTGTTTGCCCCGTCCACCCTGTCGAACACGTCAAGCTTTCTTCCGTCTCCAGCACAGCACGCATTGGCTTTCCTTGGCCAGCGCCCAGGCGATCCACCATGACGGATACCAACAGGTGCTATGGCGAGGGGTACCCCTCACAGCACTCGCAGACAGTGGTCGTGC